ATAGTTGTCATTCTCACGTTGTAAATCATCCAAGTTTCAGCAATCAAATACAAGTGTTTACAAGTTCAAGTAAACATTTTGCTTATTCGCTACTTTGAGGATTCGGGAGGTTTGAGTGGTCTCTTATCAACTAGAGAACGCGTCTAGTTGTGGTGAGCATCGATGATATCGGTTGGCCTCTTCCACGGGTTCGAGATTGTTTGGAAGGTTTCATATACCTTCTGACCCTTCTCACGAGTTCGGATTTGTTTGATCGATTCCGCAAGTATCTTTATTTCGTGTTATTCAAGAAAGGAGAAAACCCCTAAAAATTTCGACGTGTGCAACTCTGGGTTTTTTTTTTTGTCCGATTTGGGAGGATTCTCGAATTAGGATCATATCAAAACATTGTTTCACTCTGTCAAACATATAAACAAAACAAATTAGCACTAATGATAGTAATACTAATATCTTCACTCACATATGAATATACTTCCTACGTTTAACTTGTGCTCTTTCAATAAATCGTCTATGCTCTGGTAGCAATTTGTAAAGTCATCATGGTCTTCCTCTTCTACATCAAAGTCCAATTTCTTTCTTGTACCATCTCTTCCTCCATTCTCCATTTGTTCTGCACTTATTTCTATGATAGACCTTCTAGCCTCTCAAAACCATCATGCATCATTGCAACACCAGAAAGATAACCCTAACTTATCTACCACTTAATTCGACCCATTGACATTCAAAATATCTATAAATACGAATATATGTCACCTTCACCGCCACCGAAACTCTGAATTAAGTTTTTTTTTACGGTTAGAGCCTTTGTGAAGAAGATCCTTTGCGGTTGATGTTGTACGTGTTGCAAGAGGTCGACCATGTCAAAGGTGAGGTCGACTTAATGTAGCATTCGTCGTCATCTTGTCTAATGCGTAATTTCCACCGTTTAATTTGATGTATTGTTGCGTGAAGAATACCATTTGGTCGACCCTTATCTCAATCAGGTCGACCTCTGTTTGACAATTGCTTGACTCACTCCTACTGTCACTCTAGAAAATGGCCAAGTGTAACCACTTCCTAAAGCGTAGTATAGCGGGTTTGGGTTTTAATGTCAACCCGGGTCCTAGATGTGATGACTACTCAGTGAATTCTGATTATCTAGCGGTGAAACTTTAGTGCAAGTTCAAACAAGCAAACAAGTAAAGCAAGCAATTAAACGGTTGTTTTCAAGTCGAGAGAGGTCACCTGGATATGGTTCCCCCTAGACTGCAGTTAAGCCGAATTGCAATTTACCAAGTTCAGTTTCTATGATAGTTATACTGCGGGAGGTTCTTAAACAGTCTGAAGACTCGACTAAAGGTCTCCAGACCCTCTCAATATGAGTCTCCAGCGGGCGACTAACCTCCACCGGAGTAAACAGATTGAGGCCCTAACGAACAAAACCTCCACTACCGAAGTAACTTCGGTACAGAATAGTGAACTGGCTCCTCGACTAAAGTCGCCAATTCACTACCATCAATTAAGGGTGCTCTATTAACCTAGGTAGATATTCTCTTTCTAGGCTAAAGCAGAAATAATAGGAATTTGATCAGGATTCAAGTCATTCAATCATTCAAGCCTCAATTGAATATAATAAAATCATAAAATTTGTACTTGGGTTCATACAATCAGACCTAACATACAAATCTAGGGTTCTCCGTACCCAGATGAATGGGAAAACTACTCCATAGAGAGAGATGGAAAATCTAGCTCACATGCGGAAACCATACTGTGAAGGATGATAATCTGCTTCTGGCGCTCAATCTGATCTTCTCCAAGCTCAAGCCGGGCTCCCGTGGTGATGGAGATCGATCAAAGACACTTGAAGACTCAGTTTCGTCACTTTCTCTCTCTAGGTATTGCTCTGTCTCTCTAAAACTCGGAATTCCTTCTCCTTTGGCTCAAATCTGCCTAAAAAGGGCGACCCTGGGAAAATGACGGTCAAGGGCACGGTCGTGCTTTGGTTTTGCCTGCCCGTCTTTTGCCCCGTGTTAAAAATACGCCCGCGTCGGCCAAAACACGGTCGTGCCTAAATATGGACACGGCCGTGTTTTGCTTTAGGCGCACCCGTGTTTTGCTTTTCCATCAGTTCAGCTCTCGGCAATAAAAATACTAGCGTGCCTGTTTGTGTACACGGCCGTGTTTTGGTTTAGGCCAGCCCGTGCTTTGGTTTTCCATCAGTTCAGCTCTCAGCAATAAAAACACTAGCGTGCCTGTTTGTGTACACGGCCGTGTTTTGGTTTAGGCCAGCCCGTGCTTTGGCCCCAGCTCGGCCGAATGACTTCCAAATGCCCCGAAACTCGTGCTTAGCCTTTCCTTCGACGCCCGGGACCTGAAATATGACAAAGTAGCACAACCCGGCATAAAACGAGCCAAAAATACACGACTACTAGCCGCAAATAGATAAGAACTAAGGCTACAAACATGTGAAAATACATCGTTATCATTGCTCGAAATTGAATTTAGGGCATAACACTCTGACTTCTTTACTTGCGAGGTAATTGCTCCACCATATCCCGAATGGACTTTTGATAGTCGTTGAATTCTTTTTGACACACCACCAGCTGCTCTTGTGTGGTTTTCAACACCTTCATGATTTCACACAAATCGTGTTGTTGTCTCTCATCATGCGCCATCGTCTAAACAATTTAAAGAAAATTTCAATCGTGGTTAAATCGTGCTTGACACGTTGCTCCAACCCGATTCTCGATTTATGTTCAGAAACAACCAAAATTGTAAAATCATACTGAATGTCATGCCTGAAAAATTAACATTAGTGTATTTTTTGCTAAAATTGTAATTTAAAAGTGTTTAAATCAAGCTTGACACGTTGCTCCAACCCGAGCCTCGATTCATGTTCGGAAGAAAAAAAATTGTAAATCCAAACCTTAGGCTTGACACATTGCTCCAACGCGAACCTCGATTTATGTCGAGAAAATAATAAAAAATTGTAAAACCATTCCGAAGGTTGTACTGGAAAAGTTAGCATTAGAGTATTTTTTGCTAAAATAGTAATTCAATTGTGGTTAAATCAGGGTTGACATATTGCTCTGACCCGATCCTCGATGTATGTTCAGAAAAATTCAAAAATAGTAAAATCATACCAAATGTCGTACTGGAAAAGTTAGTATTAAGGCTTTTTGTGCTAAAATCATAGTTCAACCCGTGGTTAAATCATTTCATACATCTACCAATTTAGATTTTGTTAGTAGTTTATCCATCAGGCAGCTGCTAAACGCTGTCACAAATCAAATACGAGTTAGCAAAAAATACATCTAATCCTATAAGAAGCCGCAATGAAGCGCGGTACAAAAGCGCTACCTAGTACCAATTGAGAATTCATATGTGCATAGTTTTTGACATAGGTAGAATTGGTTGATAGTCCATGAAGAGCAAGCTCCCCTACAGTCTCTATCCAAAATTTATGGCATACTACTACAACCACCACCAACGATAAGTACTGAACCAAAAGTACAAAACAAACAAAAGCAAAATCAAAAGCTAATTCATTAGTTTAAGGTTTGAGTCACTTGTATTCCTAGGTTAAAACTGTCAAAGTGATACGGAAATTAAACTTTGGGACATAAGTGATATGTTAAAAAATTAGGGGTACAAGTGACCCAAACCCTAAACTATTACGCCAATTCATTATTATCTAGAAAATAATACGTCTAGGCGCTAGGTAGCGACAAATGCCCCGCCTAGGGTCTAGGTATACAGTTATACATTCAAACGCCTAGGAGCTGCCAAGACACCACCTAGGCGGAGTTAAGCGCGTTTAATCGCAGCTAAGCGGTCTAGCTAGTGACTAAAGATAAAAAAATAAATTAATGTATTAAAATTTCGCAACATGACGTCTTTCTTATGTTCGATTAGTTCATCCCAAGTCCCAACCACCCGTCCTACGCATACCGTCCTTATGTTCGATTAGTTCCTATCCCATTTGTATCTAATTTCGCCCGACCAAGTATTTTTTCTTACTCTTCACAGTCGCGAAAAGTAAATTTTTTATGATCGATTAAAACGCTTAGGAGTCCTAGGCGCTAACCATTACTTCAAACTATACTTAATCACTTCTTCATTAGTTCCATTTTCATCTTTAGTTTCCTGATTACCCATTTCTGCCGTTGCGACCTCTCCGGTCAGTCGAGACCAAAATCCTGACGCGGAATTTGCATATGAGGCAGGGCTCATAAACCTGAAGCAGGCCGCAAATACTGGATTGATAGACCCATCTTTCACCATATAAGGAAAACCTGGGGGGACGGTGAAAATGGTGTTTCGCAGAACTGTCACTAATGTTGGGACAGGGCACTCCAAGTACAAGCTAAAGGTGATGTCCTCTAAAGAGTTTAAGATCATGGTGAACCCAAAAGTACTGAGGTTTAAGGATGTGGGTGAGACGATGTCGTTTCTTGTCACTATGAAGGAAAAGATGAAGCAGAGTGGGATTGTCTCTGGTCTTCTTGGTTGTCTGATGGGTGTCATAATGTCAGGAGTCCCATTGTTGCTCATACACTACAATAACCTTCATTTTCTGTTTTTTTTATACGAAATAGATGTTTGATTAAACTCAAATATAAATATTTGTAGGGATAGGAAATAACGATGTACTCGACATGTCCAAAGCATGCATGTACTTTGGAGTCTGGATGTATTTTCTTATGACAGATTTAAACGTACCAACATTAGTGAGGGATTCGAGCTCGTATTAAGTTTTGGGGCTTCAATATGGGATCTATGTTTCCAGGCGTCCGAACTCCCTAGTATCGTCATAAAGCTTCTTTATTTTACAATGACAAACTTGAACATACTTGAAATTTTGTAAGGATATTAACGATAATTTAGACACGTGTCAATGAGTTTTTAGGTTTCGGTTGAAATCAAATAGCTGATAATTGAGTATCTTACACACATCTAACAGTTGAATGACCACGAGAGTGCAAGGAGAAAGTGGCGGGGATATCATTTTGAAGCTTGCATGGACCTCAGATAACTTATTGAGAGTAAACAATCATTCAACGACTTAGTAGGTATTAATTCTTGAAAGAAATAACTTAACCTTAGTAATAAGCTCGATTATGAAACTAAAAATTGGAACGATACCAAATTCTCAATTTATGTCAATAGTGAATAGATCGTCTAGATTCAAAGGTTTCCAACTATATATTTCTCTCTTTAACCAAATCCAAGCGTTTTTGTCTCCCGAAACTTGGGTCCACACTATCCACTTAATTAAGGACGATCGAGGTGTGCAACTTCACTCGGAAACACTGATACCACACCCTTGATACCTGTGACAAATACATTTAGGATATAGCATCATATATCTCAAACTCTAAATATTAAATACTACCCAAAATTAATCAAATAAAACATAACAGCTTACTTGCTAAATGCTTTGCTTCAGTTTCACTGAGTTTTGCCGCAAACCCACTTGTGGAGCGATAGTCATAGACAAGAGATTCCTCTGGTGTGCTATATCAAAGACATAGGCAGTCAAGAAAAAGCGTAGAGTGAAACAGGGTCTGAAATTAATCCTAGCTAGCTAAATGATTCACGAAGGAAAAAATTGTTACTACAATAATATTTTATATTGTTGAAGCATACATGTCTTGAAGCACAGTCTTGAGAAGATCTAGATGCGCAGGTTTGGTACTTGGTATAATCTGTGAATCCAGAAACACCAAGTAAACCTGCAAAACTGAGGAGTTAAGCATTTTATGGATTGTAAAGTCTTACAGGAAATTTGACGATAAAATAACTTTATGTTTGAAATTTTTGCTTAACCGTGATTCAATCATTTCATATTAATAAAATCTCCTCTCAATTTAACCTCTAATAAAAAATAATTTCATTTGGACCGCTGGTATGATACAATTTCACCAACATCAAACAATTTACACATTTGAAAGCAAAAGCCAAACTAATAAGTCAATAGATATGATTATCAACAAAAGGGGGAAATAAAAAAACAAGATTCCATCTAATTGCTGGAACTTTACTTAACCTTACCTTCCTAGGAGTAAAACTAGCCGCGTGGCCATGAGTAATGGCAGTAGAAATGAAGATGATGATGAAGGTTGTTACTAGAGGGACAAATCGTAGAGTTTTTGCCACAGCCATTTCAGCGGGTGATAAACAAATGAACGAGTCGACTCTTTTTGTTCTTTTTAGTTGTTGTTTTTTCCCTTTCCTCAAAATTAGATCATATATATAATACTAGCTAGGGCAACAAATTAAGAGTTACTTTGCCATCAGTTATGCAAATATAGAGTATATAACACAACATTAAAGTAACACATTAATAATGCTGATGAAGAAGAGAAACTGAGAAAATTTAATACCCATCGCAAAAGAATCAAGAGCAAAAGGAAGGAAATGTTTACCTTTCGAGTTTTGACTGATTTTTCGTTATAGTTTTACGGATTCCTTCGTTCTTTAAGCAATATTATGATTTATTGACATTATATTCATGAGAAAAAGCTTTCAACATATTATGTTGTATATTTTTGTCATAGGGATCTTTCATTACGGTGATAATGAGGTATTGAATGACGTCTCAAAATCACTACTAGCTAATTTAAGTAGTAATTGTTGTATATAATTTACAACTAGTTTGGTGCCCGACCCTTTGGTCGGGACAGTATCTCAGCACCATGTTCTTATAATTTGCATTTTAATTTGATCAAATTAAATGCATATTTGTGCATCGTCTTATCAAAACTATCAATCGATCTATGAAAACTTGATGACATTGCAATTGAATTAACGGTTAATATTTTTGTCTGGTCCGAATGTTTCTCACAAAGTCACTGGTCTTGTTGTTGCTCATAGTCATACACTACAATAACCTTCGTTGTTGGAGTTCATTTTGGTACTAAATAGAAGTTTGTTTTAACTCAAGATATATCCTTTTGTTTGGATAGGAAATAACGATGAACTCGACATGTGGTTTATTGGACATTCCATTACAAGAATCCTTGTTTGTTCTAGGATTGATCGACCAAGCTCTTATTTCCTTGTGCCTAAACTTGATCATGTCTATCGGCACATCATCAAAGGTTTTTCTATTCCTTGAGTCGAATCAAAGATAGAAGGATTGAACTCTTATTGTGCTAGAAACACAAGTTAGTGTTCATTTTAGGCTTTTTAACTCTTTGATTGATTTTATGATTAACCTTTTATCTTATTCTTGCCTAGCTAGCTTAGGATTTGAATCCCTAAAGAGATGGGACTTAGCGATCAATAAACCCAGCAAGTGACTCACACTCTCGCGGAGCAACACAACTCATTTGTGAAAATGAGTTCATAAGATTGAGAGTTGTTGGATCGAGTAATGGACGCTTCACGTTCGTTGAATGATGTGATATCAATTTATTTACAAAATTATCACAGCCTCCATTCAACAAATACGAAGCGCCAACACTCAATTCAACGGCTTGGGCCCCTTGTGAGCACATCCGCGTAGTTTAAGTTGTAGGGAGGATAGTTGCTTGTTCAAGCCATTGTATGCATAGCGTCCATGAACATGTATAAAGATTCATCATTTGGGTCTAGTACCATACAAATAAGGGGTCATCTATACAAGCTGAAATTGTCTAATCACACTCACACAATAAAAATCATTGAATTTATATATGTGATGCTAACAAAAAAGTTTACTGCGTTGGTCCAATGATTTTGAACACACAAAAGAACGATCAAATCAAACAGTTTATATAATACCACCTCATCTACATGATGATAACCGAATTCTCCTCATTTACAACTACGTGCACACTATGTAACTAGCATCGGGCTCGACCCTTGGTCGGGAAAGTTTAGCCAAAAAATTGTGAACAATAACATGCTAACAATATAATAAGATGATAAGAAATACAATTATTCAAAGAAGAAAAGAAAAACGTGTATGTAATTAGTTTTCACTACTTAAGAAGCCCATATAATTGAAGATTAGAGTTTGCTTCCTCTAATACATACATAATGAATTTTAAGAATGAAAGAAAAAGATTGATCTCTAATAAAGTTCAATCTCTCTCTACAGTGTTTACATCATCCTTGTTGATTACTTATAGACTAGACATACACACTACCATCATCATTTATCTAATAATCCATTTTTTTCGATGAATGGTGGGCTTTATTCATCATACAATCAACTACACAAATTGTCAACAACGTCCACAACACTTATGCAACACTACTTTCCTGTATATATCTGCTAAGTAACAAAACAAAACAAAAACAAATACTGAACCTGACAACAACGAGACTATGACCAGAATGTGGATTACACCATTTTGTACCAAAGCGGTTTCCCCTCTGCAGCTACTGCAAATGCGACATCCCCTACTAGCTTGAACTCCACCTCCTGCGCCATCTTTTGAGTCAGTGCTGCTGGAGACAAAGATTTGTTACCATATAGCCTTCTACACCTCTCTCGCCATACTTCACTAACCAGCAAACACCAAATGGTACTCCCTGTCAAGCATTTCCCAAACCTGCAAACAGCCGCTAGAACTGCACTATGAAATGTCCAATCGAGGGGGAATTTCCATGGATCAAAAACTATGCTCCAAACCGCCCTGACATAAGAATAGGAGAAAAAGAGATGATCTCGAGCCTCTGGTTCAGAATGACAGAGAGGGCACCTGCCAAGGACATCTGGGTTCCATCTCTTGATCTTGTCCAAAGTTATGATTATGTCCTATAAAATGAGCCAAGTTAATAATGAGTTCTTAGGAATCTGAGGCTCCTTCCATACCAGCGAGGCCCATGGAACTGCTTCCTTCCTTGGTCTGAGACTATCTCAGACTGTTTTGATGCTGAAGCGAGTCATGACAGTACCATCCCATTCTATTCCATCTTCAGTCCTGACCAAATATGAACTAATAAGGGGTCTAATCTTTAGTATTTTGTTTCAGACCCAAGACCCCTTCATCTGAGTTTCCCAAATGCTAAGGTTTCGTAGTCTATATTCCTTCAACCACGCTATCCACAAAGTCTCCTGATCTGCAAGAACTGCCCATATATGTCTAGCTAGGCATGCTTGGTTCCATGACCACAAGTCTCTAAATCCCAAACCACCTTCTTCCTTTGGCAAAGCTACATGTTTCCAAGCCACTTTTGCTTTCTTGTTCTGCTCCAAGTTGCCCCATAAGAACTTTGAACATAAAGTTTCCACTTCTCTTATTACTTTCTTGGGGAGCTGAATGATATTCATCTAGTACCGAGAGATACTGGCTAGAACAGCTACTATTAATTGAAGCTTACCAGCATATGTCAAAAGCTTCGATCGCCATCCACTTATTCGATGAGTTATCTTTTCCACCAAGGCTCTGCACTCTGCTGCTTTCAATTTACCAGCATTAAGTGGAATCCCCAGATACCTAACAGGGAGGGCACCTTCCTTGAAACCAGGATAGTTAGCCAGTGAAACCCTTTCCTCTTCATTCACGCCCTCACAGAAAAATCCACTTTTGGAAGGGTTACATCTTAGTCCTGAAACCAGGTAGAATTTATCCAGGATTGCAGCAACAGTTCCCACGGCCTCTCTTGACCCTTTAGTGAATATCAATAGGTCGTCAGCAAAGCAGAGGTGGGTAAGCCCAATTCTGAGGCACTGAGGGTGAAATGGTAATACATTCCTGGCTGCTGCTATATTAAGCATACAGGAGAGGACTTCCATAGTTATGGTAAACAAGTAGGGAGATAAAGGGCAGCCTGCCTAAGTCCTTTTTTGGCAGGAAAATTCCTAGTCAGACCACCATTAAGACACACAGAGAAACTGGTTGATTCAAGACAGCACCGTACCCATTTGACAAACTGCTCTGGTAACCCCATGGCAAGCATGACATTGACAAAAAAACACCAATCAACACTATCAAAAGCCTTCATGATATCTATCTTTAATGCACAACGAGATGAGACATTCCTCCTATTGTACCATTTTACCAGTTCATGTGCTAGGATTATGTTATCAGTGATCAGCCTTCCTTTAATGAAAGTTGTCTGGTTTGGACTAATGAGCTGTGGGAGCACTTCCTTCAATCGATTGGCTAGGATTTTCGAAATACATTTATATATGAAATTGCAGCAGGAGATAGGTCTAAAAAATTCATAGAACTGGCATTTGTAACTTTAGGGATTAGGGTGAGGATGTACAATTTACCTCTCGTTGAAGAGTACCAGTAGCAAGGAAATCCATTATTGCCTTAATAGTCACTAGACCAACTAAGCTCCAGTTGTCCTGGAAAAATTATGCAGAGAACCCATCAGGGCCAGGAGCTTTGCCCCACTTCATTTTCTTGATCACTGAGGTGATTTCATCTACTGAGACTGCTGCACAGAGGGAGGACTCTTGGGGAAGATTATGGTAAAGTAGCTTCTGGAATGTGTCCACTGTCACATGCTGAAGAGAGGAATTAGCCATTCCCAAAATATTTTTGTAAAAATTCACTGCCTCCTTGCCAATTTCATCTATCCCTTCCAAAAGTCGACCATCTTCTGTGATTAGTTTGGAAATTGTACTTCTGGAATTCCTAGTTTTGACCATACTGTGGAAGTAACCAGTATTAAGATCTCCACTATTAATTCTCATCATTCTTGATTTTTGTTTCAGAAACTGCTCTTCAGCTTTTTTAAGCTCTAGAAGCGAAACCATCAACTCTACTCACCTCTGAAAGCTGAGGAGGCAGGGCGCTCCAACACTTATTTTTGAGCCAGCTCCAGTTCCACTTGAGCTTTCTTCACCCTTTCATGTATACCTGAATAGTGTTCCTTATTCAATTTTCTGAGTCTCTGTTTGACCTCTCTTAGCTTGTGATATAACTGTTGCATTGTTGATCCCCTGATGTTGCTACTCCATCCTTCTCCAACTAAGCCATCATAGAGGGGGTGAGTTTTCCAGAAACTAAAATACTTGAAAGGTTTGGGCAAAGATTTAATCCATTTTGCCACCAAAGGAGATGAAACAAAATACAACATTAAATATACGAATTGCTGCCCTGAAATGATGACTCATGGGTAGGCGAGTGTAATAATTCGTGCAAAATTTCAGGTGGAGCACGTCTAGGAGGCAGTTTAACCTTCCCCTCTTTGCAACACAATGGGAAGACGAGAATGGAGTGACTCCTAGTATGCAACGTGCTTTCTTGCAGCCACATAATTGTTGTACAATATTGACAAAGTCTTGAAGGCTTACAATCAAATTAGTGACATAAGATAATTGATACATAAAAAAGAGGCATTT